TACATAATTGTTTATTTCAATATTGCAATTGTAGTAATCAAACATTAAGAAATTACCCAGGGGGTTGTAGGTAATTTTGATTCGCAGTGCTCTTATTCTGAAAAATTAACGAACATACTTTTGTATACTGTATACTTACTCTCACACACGCACACATGCATGCACGCGCACACACACACTCACACACTTACACACTCATACTCTCACTCTAACTCACTGTGTGTGTGTGTATGTGTGTCTGTGTGTGTGTGTTTGTATGTGTGTGTGTGTGGATGCACAAAAGAGTGAACATATACATGGATATATTTTAAAACAAAATGTATTCTGCATTACTATATGTATCCGGCATGTACATATAACCAAGAAAATGTGCATTACATAGTATTAACAAAGAGAAAACAATACATATGTAAGTTCCTTGGAACTGTAAATATAATTAAATTGCATATTCTTCATATTTCCAATCTCTCCAATTCTACCTTCCAGCATTTCAATCCAAAATACAGTTTCTTATCTAAATGCACAACCATATGATCCTTTAAATTACTGTCACAACTATAGGACTTACCACATATTCTACATTTACAGTGGTTATCACATGGATCTTTTCTTTTATTGTTCTTTATAGTGTCTTTGGATCCAATTATTTTGTTATTCAAATCATTATTCCTACTTGTGTCATTCATGTTTGTGACTAACTGATTACTAACTTTCTGAAAACCTTTACATGCAGATTTTGTACAAAACCATTTGAAACTGTCTCTAAAATTTGTCATAAGTGGATTGCTTTCACACTTTTTCACTGTCAAGTCTTTGAAAACCAGAGTTCCATTGGGTATTGCATTCCTTTTACCTCTGGTGGTTCCCTTATCACTTTCTGAAGCTGCCTTTCTGCTTGATGGAACAGCCTTTTCAGTTATCTTTCCTCTGACAGAGATGGATTTGCCTTTTGCTGAGTTTGAGTTTCTATTTGATGAGACATACTTTCCACTAACCAGAACTGACTTATTACTCAAAGAAACAGCTCTTGCATTTGAAGAGATGGGTTTTCTACTTGGTGAAACACAACCAATATTTGTTAAAGCATGCTCATTTTGTGTTACAAGTTTATTTGCTACCAAACCATGCTTCCCAGTTGCTAGTCCAGCTTTTTTATTTACAAAAACAGATTTACCATTTGCAGTGATGCTCTTACTGTCTGAGAGCGGAAAATGTGGTATTTTCTTTATATTGTGTAGCTTTTTATTAGAGCCATCATTATGCCTGCTGGATTCCGCACACATATTACAGAAACAAGATTTCTTTGCACCATGTATTCTCGAGTGCATTTTAAGACAGCTTTTTCGACGGAATTTCTTTCCACATACTGTGCACAAGTAAAATTCCTCTCCAATGTTGAGTGACATTGTGGGTATTTACTTCAATTTAAATTTTCCCTAAAAAGAAAATATATCTATCAGCATTCTTCAAATAAATCTATACAATAAAAAATATAGAATTTCAAAAACAACATAAATATTTTAAACGGCAGCATGATGTAAGTAACAGATTCAAAACAGGAATGAAATTATTCAAAATAAGGGCTTCCATACATACATTGCCAAATCTAACAAACATCTTAACAATTGCTTAGCATCATGACACTAACAAGCCTGTAATGTTAACTTTAACGTTTGTTCTAAACATTTCTCTTCATCAGCATGGCAAACAAAAACATGGAAAAAATTTACTATCTATCTTCATGGAACATCCTCCTTGAAATAGTGTAAGACAATGCACATTCTTTCACCATTCACAACCTGAAAAATAAGAAAAAAAGTTAGAAATCTACGCTCTTCATCATGTGCCCCATTCCTGGCACAGAAGTAATGCCCATATTTTGAAGTTAAGAATTAATCGCTGTTATCAGAAAACAATAAACAGCCAATATAGAAGAAACATTCATTTATATCAATTGAGTACTAAAAGCAAAGAGTAATATGAAATACAAAAGGGGCTAAGTTGATTATTTCAGATGTTATAGAAAATGAAAAACTTAACCTGTAGGCAGCCCAACGCAAGAAATTGCAGTTTAGGTAGGCCCTAGACTGATCTAAATCATAGGCTATTTATCCTGCTTTAAATCAAAGTTCAAAGATGTTAAATGGCCATTTTCTGTACCTCTCAAATGAGCTATAGTCGCGTTTACAAAGCATAGGGTAAACAGACAGAAAGCAAGTACAAAATAAGTTTTAGACAATATAAAGCAGTTATCTAGATACAATGCAGTGTTATACGTACAGCTATCATACCCATACTAAGACAGAAATATGACTGAAACTATAGTATCCTGGAAGAGCTTGTGACATAGCCTGTTAGAACATGCCGAGTTGTTTTATTTCAATTATTTTTAGCAGCGATAGCAACTATCTGATACCAAAATGACTGATAATGGCACTCTACTGTATGTAAAAAAAAAAACAATTGGTTCAAATAAATATCGATTTTAATGGGGATTAACATTTCTAGCAATTAACAAAACATCCCTTATTACGAGAAACCACAAAACAGTTGTGTAGTATGCTGGAGAAAAAGGGTAATGCTTCTCTGGGTCAAAGAATTATTATTAACATCTTATCCATTGTCATTTATCCATTATCATATCGATTATCATTATCATTATCATTATCATTATCAATTTATCATTATCATTCACTCATTAATTATTATCTATTATTAATTATTAATTCATATATTATATATATTATCATCATCCGATTAATGATAATCAATGATGTATACGAGATTACCATGCAATACTAATCACAAATACTGCATAATCAATACAACCAATACACAACTCAATGATAATCATCTAACTCAGTTAAACAATTAATGATTAATTGATAATCGACTGCATTATCATTATCTAATCGCTTTTAACTATTATCATTCATCATATCATCATTATTATTAATATTTACATTATTCATTATTCATTAGTAGCTAGTAGTCAGTATTATCCATTATTGATTATTATCTAATTCATCATTGTTACAATTAATCATATTCTATAATCAAACTATAATATAACAAATAATAATAACAATTCGGGTAAGATACATGATAATGATTAATAATTGATAACTGCAATAATGATAAAATAACAATAACTTCTGTGTTGTATTAGACATTTCTATCTAGTGAAGTGAAATTTACCTTATTTCTATCGATAATAATTGCATATATAAGTTCGACTAACAATAAATATTTGGCATTTATTCTGATTAAATGCCTATTGATTGCCATTGACTCCTTATGCCATCGATGCATTGCATTCATGAGATGATTGATGATTGCATGATGCATCGCCATGCATGCCATGCATGCATTGATTTCGCATGCATGATGCATTGCATAATCGATGATGACATGATGGCATGATGAGCATGTATAGACAAACAACCAATTGAACAACTGCTAATCAAAACAGACACCACTTTTATCTTTACATTATTTGGGTCCCATGGCATAATTATTTGCCTACCGCCCTAATGAACGCTAACGAAAGCTTAATAGCTGGGTATTTTGGTCGATACTGTTTCTATGTTACAGAATTCCTCTTTGTTTGTCCATAGATGAGTGATATGACCTTCTGTTTTAACTTACCAGAATCTAAGTAGTTTGTCGACAGCAATTCCCAGGTACCTGTTTTCTTTCGTTTTCCATGTTTTTTAAAAAAGCTCGGTGACGATAGATGATCGCTCCTTCATACATCTCATATAGCGTAAATTGCTGATCTATCTCCCTGTCCAGTCGTAACCCTACAAACAGAGTCCAGTCATCATTGACTTCATTTGCATCCACGGCAGTTGGAGTAATCTTTCTAAAAATGCTTAGTTATATATATCAAAATGTAGTCTAGAAAAATACATTTCTATAATGCTATCTTCTCCTCTACCACATTTCCCGATGGCAAGCACTCAATGTTTACTTTCCTCAAATTCCTCTTTGAATAAAGGTATAAACAAATCTAAATTTTTTTTTCAAAGGTCCTCTAAACTGGACTCCAATAGCAAGTCGCCCAATATTACCCCTTGGAAGTTGAATGCACGTGATAAAACATTTTAATATACATCGCTGTACCAGCAAAAACCATATTACACGCTGTACCTCCAAACCAACACTAAATTTACATTTCACACCGATTAAAAAGACACCCATCCCACGTATCCCTTACTATTACCGCAGGCGTCGTCCGGGTCCATTATGGAGAGGCCCCAAGACCCAGTTTGCCGGGCTGCCCACTGATAGATTCAACCCTGCCTTGCTCACTGCCACAAGATGGCCCTGCGTCCATTTGTTGTAGTGTGAAGTGTTGTTAGATATCTGTACGCTTAGAGAGGCGCCACGTGTTGTTTATAGTGCGTGTCCGTGGATGTCAGTTCGAAATTCTGACTTTTGACATCTTCTCCTGGTCCTTTCTTCACCTTGAGATAGCGTAGATTGCAATATGACATTATTTTTTTACCGTCTGTGACCGTAAGAAAGCACGCAAAGAATGGATAAACAAGGATGATTTTCTTACGATTTGGATAGAGGGGAAAATAGCCACGTTTTAGTCAAAATATATTATAATATGAAAGCTACACACGTTTTAAAGACAAGAACGTGAGGTAGTAAGTTCGATACAGAAGACAGAGTTATGATATCTTATAATTTTTATTTCTTGAAGAAAATGACAAATTCCGTCAATTTCTCTTCATTCGTTTTGAACCATCTTTTGAGCTTGCTTGTTCCAACAACTTTTTATAAACACTAAAGCATGGATAACCTTGTTTTTAACTTTNATGTGTGTGTTCGTGTGTGTGTGTGTGTGTTTGTTGTGTGTGTGTGGTTGTGTGTGGTGTGTGGTGTGTGTGAGTGTGTGTTGTGTGTGTGTGTGTGTTTGTGTGTGGTGTGTTGTGTGTGTGTGTGTGTGTGTGTGTGTGTGTTTGTTGGTGTGTGTGTGTGTTGTGTGT